ATTACGTGACCAGCCCATCTGATTTTCGACACCTTGGCAAATGAGACAGCGTCCCTGATCCTTGATCGTCGACGGATGTCAGAACTCCGGATTCTTTCTCTCAATGGAGTGAAACGTGATATTCCAAGCATAGCTCTTTCTATTCTTCTTTGGGAGACCTGAATAGCGTTCTCATCTTGTTTGCGTAGGGCCCAGGTCTCTGAGGCATATGTTAATGCAGGAAGAACAGTGGAATCAAAGAGATGTGCCCGGAGCCGGAGGTTCTTCGTCCTCTTAGCTATTTCTTCGACGTTCTTGAAGGCGTTCCAAGCTGCTCTCTTCCTCCTGCGCAGCTCGGGTGCCAGGTCATTTGTCATGTTGACCTCTCGACCTAGGTACACATAGCTGTTGCATTCGGAGATGGTCGTTCCATTGAGAGCGAATGGGGCGTCAGGAACAAGGCTGTTTCTCATAAACATTGTCTTCGTAAGATTCAGCTGTAGTCCTACCTTTCCACACTCACGTTCAAAGTCGGCCAGCATTTGTGCCGCTTGGCTGATGTTTGGTGTTATTAAAACAATATCATCAGCAAAGCGGAGGTGGTGTAATTGCCGACCATCTATCTTCACTCCCATTCCTTCCCATTCCAGTCGTCGCATGATGTTCTCGAGGGTGGCACTGAAGAGTTTCGGTGAAATGGTATCACCCTGCCGCACCCCTCTCTTGACATCAACGATCACTTCTTTGTAGAATGGTGAGATCCTGGTAGTGAATCCGCAATACAGCTCACGGAGGATCCTGATGTATTGGGCTTGAATGCCCTGATTGGCTAGGGCTTCAATGACCACTTCCGTCTCAACAGAATCAAAGGCCTTCTTTAAATCAATGAACGTTAAGCAGAGCGGCATCTTGAACTCCCGAGAAACCTCAATGAGCTTGGTTATCGTGTGGATATGGTCGATGGTGCTGAATCCTTTGCGGAACCCTGCTTGCTCGCATGGTTGTCCTTCATCTAGTGTTCTGCCAATCCTATTCAGGATGACTCGAGTGAACAACTTGTAGATGACAGACAACAGGCAGATCGGGCGATAGTTGCCAATGTCATGGATGTCTCCCTTCTTGAACAGTAGTACGGTCCTGCTGGTTTTCCATTGGGACGGAACCTTGCATTCAGACAGGTAGCGAGTGAAGAGCCGAGCCAGTGTATTGATGAGTACTGACGGCAGGTTCTTCAGGTGTTCAGGTCTGACCTTGTCTGTGCCGGGTGCTGTTTGTTTCTTTACCGACGAAATGGCGTGTCGGATTTCGGAGGGGAGAACGTTGGGAACAACATACCCATCCTGTGGAATTTGGTATGTTGGCAAGTGGACATGGCTATCGAAGAGATTTGAGTAGAAGTCATGGATAATCTTCTCCATTGCCGTTCTGGAGGATGTGATGGATCCATCAGGACGTCGGAGGGCAGTCATCTTGGTCTTATAGTTGGCGAAGGACAGGCGGGCCTTACGAATACTTTTCCCGGCTTCTGCCGCATCTACCAGTACTTCTGCTCTTCTCTCTTTGAAGTCTTCCTTGATCGCATCTCTGCACTGCTTTGCAAGCTCGGACGTTAGCTTGCGGTTGCCTGAGGCATGCGCCAAACCACGCTGGCGAATTAGCTCAAGAGTTTTCGAAGATAGGCGACTTTTTGTGGCTATCTCTCTCTTGGCGTTCCTCGCACATTCATGGAGGTGCTGAACCAGTCGATCGTATTCCTCGTCAATGTTGTCAACAATGGCATCTTCCCATGTTGCCGCAATAGTACCAAAGAGTTCCCAGTTGGTGGTCATTCTGGGAGTTCTCTTTTTGAACTTTGCAGCCCTTTCTCCCCGCTCTGTGAAGTAGAATTTTGCACGAAGGAGACGGTGGTCCGATCCCGTTCGAAATTTTGGGACAACAGCGACATCAGTCAGGCAAAACCGTAGATTGAATATGATGTGGTCTATTTCGTTGTGGAATCGTCCACCGGGAGACTCCCATGTCCAACGTTTAGATTCTGCCTTCTGGAACTGTGAGTTACCATGGATGGTCTTGGTCGACATGATGAACTCTGACAGTCTCTCACCCTGTTCGTTCCATTCTAGGCCATGGGTCCCGATGTGAAGTTCTTCAGCTGATCTTCTCGGTCCTATCTTGGCATTAAAATCACCCACAATGATCTTGTAGAAGGTGTGGTCTTCTTTATAGAACTTCTCTAGCTCCATGTAGAACTTCTCGATTTCTCTTTCATCATAATGAGATGTTGGTGCGTAGACAACGAAGATAGAAACTGCAGGCAGTGAGCCACATCTATTCAAATGTAAACGTCCGATTCGGGTTGTTAGGCATTCGAATGAATCAATGCTCTTGGCCAAGTTTGTGTTGACAAGGACACCGATGCCTCCAACACCTCTTTTATCACATGTTCCGAGGAACAATTCTTCTCCAGTGTCGGAAGAGCCTGGCAAGCTATCCGCTGTGTATTCGATATGCCAAAACCAGTAACTACAACTGGTCTCATTCACCTGACCCTGAAGGCTTCACCGACATGGCAGCACTGAGAAGGATGAGAAAGAAGAGGCCGACAAAATCTCAAGGCCGACCTAGGCTGCCACAACGAAGGAAGACAAAAATGATCGTCTGTACTTTCAATGCATGTACTCTAGCATCAGATGCATCCATCGAGGATCTGATGGTACAAGCGCGAATGATCAAGTACGACATCATTGGTCTGACCGAGACAAGAAGGCACGAATCTCACCATGCCGTTTTCGACACCAAGAAAAAGTTCATGAAAAATGAACTAGTCCCTAACGTACCATTTGCTCTCAACGGAACAAACATCTCCGAATGCAGCAGTTATGTGTACCTGGGTTGAGAACTCAACAAGAGGAACGATTTGGCGCCAGAACTGTGCAGGAGGAAGGGTGGCATGGAGCGCCTTCAAGAGCATCGAAGAAGTTCTTAAGCAGACAAAGAACCTCTGGCTCTGGGCACCGCTTTTCCACTCTACTGTTCTTCCTGTGCTAACATATGCATCAGAGACCTGGGCCCTACGAAAACAGGACGAGAACGCTATTTGGGTATCCCAAAGAGAAATATAAAGAGCTATGCTTGGAGTATCACACTTCACTAAAGTTATAGAAGGAATCCAGAGTTCTGACCTCTGTCGACAATCAAGAATCAGGGACACTGTCTTGTTTGGCAAGGGGTCAAAAATCAGATGGGCCCGACACATAATACAATTTAGAGACGACCACTGGACTGGAACTTTTACAGACTGGATTCTACGGGAAGTCAAAAGGATGCATGGTCGCCCACCTATGAGATGGTCAGACTTCTTCGTCAAAACCCTGAACAAATGGTTTGAGGCTCTTCATGTTCCTGGAGCGAGCAGATGCCACTGGGCTACTCTGGCATGCAACAGGGACAAATGGAGATGCTACTGGCTCCCACTTGAGCAAATCGAGGATCAAAGGGATGACAAGTGACGCTTTTAATCAGAAGGAGGTTAACAATAACTTAGGAAAGACATCAGGATGCTTTTTTAAAAAAACTGAATCACCATGGGATACAGTTACAAGTTTTCATATTTGAGTTTCAATCATACAATGGTCAAACACCTCCACCAGTGCACATTCTCCACCACCAATGTCCCCAGTATACCTCCCTTTCCAGCCCTTCCCCTGCCTCCTTGGCAGACAATTTCCCCCATACTCTCTCTCTACTTTTGGGTATTATGGTTTTCTTTTTTTTTAATTTTTTATTATTTATTTATTTATTTATTTTTATTATCATTTTTTTTTATTAGTGAAACACCATGAGGTACAGTTATAGACTTATAAATTTTTGTGCTTGGGTTTCAGTTATACAATGATCAAGTACCCATCCCTCCACCAGTGCCCATCCTCCCCCACCACGGGCCCTAGCATCCCTCCCACACCCCATCCTCCCCCGTCCCACCCTGCCGCTGTGGCAGGGCATTCCCCCTTGTTCTCTCTCTCTTCTTTTGGGTACTGTGTTTTGCAAGAGAGGCGTTGAGTGGCAATCATGTTTTGTATCATGTTAAGCGAAATGAGTCAGAAAGAGCGGGATAGACACAGAAAGATTGCATTCATCTGGGGAACATAAAGCAACAAAACGGGAGACTAACACCCAGGAATGGCTGAGATTAGTACCAGGAATTTTGCTCCATGACTTGAAGGCCAGCCACATGTGCTAGGTGAAAAGGAAGCTCAGATAGAGAAGAGAGCACCAAATAAAGGGTGTTGTGAAGACCCTCCCAGGATATTATGGTTTTCAATACAGATAATGAGAGGTTATCACATTTGGTCCTTTATCTACTTTCATCACACGTCTCCGATCTCGAATGATTCCTCCAGCCATCATTGTCTTAGTGATCCCTTCTCTATTCCAGCTGCCTTCTCCACCAGCTCATGAGACAGGCTTCCAACTATGAGGTAATATTCCTGGTCCTTGTGTCTACTGTCCTTGGGTGTCAGTCTCATGTTATTTTATTTTATTTTTTAAAAATTTTATTGAATCACCATGAGATAGGTACAAGCTTTCATGTTTGAGTTAAAGTAATCACACAATGATCAAACACCCAACCCTCCACCAGTATATTTTATATTTCACAAATGAGTGCAGTCCTTCTAGTCTGTCCCCCTCTTTCTGACTCATTTCACCTTGCATGATACTCTCCATGACCATCCACTTATAAGCAAATTTCATGACTTCATCTCTCCTAACAGCTAAATAGTATTCCATTGTGTAGATGTACCAAAGTTCAAGATGCTTTTTTAAAGTAAGAATATGTTGCAGAGAAAGTTTGTGTTTTTTTTTAAAGCTTTCCTACTTATGTGTATGTATCCTTTGAAAAAACATATCTAATTTTTATCTCTGGTCGTCTTGGGGGACAAAGATGGAGAAAATTTCTCATTTTTCTATATTTCTCTAAACTCTCAAGTTGTGCTGACAGTGGCCATATGCTTCAATTAATTAATTTTAGCTATTCTCCCCTGACTGCCATAGAGACAGACAGAAATTGCTGGATTTTTTTTCTTTTGATTCTAGTGCAAACCATAGAGTAACAGCAAATTGTTTGAAGTCTATCGGTGGACGCAGCGGCACATACTTTAAATCAGTGGTCAACATAAGTGCTATCACCTCTGTACCACAGCCACATCCTCAACCAAGGGACAGAGGAGAGTAGTGCTTCCTCTCACCTAACATTTAATAATTCATAATCCTTATAAGGAATTTTGTTCTTCATCAACTCATTCTGGGATCATCAGATGTTTTGTTTTTGTTTCAGCGCCCCATCAGTAATGCTCAGAGCTTACTCCCGGCTCTGCCTCAGAGATCACTCCTGGCTGGGCTTGGGGGACCATAGGGGGTTCTGGGGATCAAACCCAGGTCAGCAGCATGCAAGGCAAGCACCCTACCTGCTGTATTGTCACTCCAGCTCTTGGGATCATTGGATTTTTGCGGATCTAGTGTTCCAAAGGAAGGACCCACCTTCCAGAGGAAGACAGTTTGGGTTCTGCTTAAGTTTAAAGATGAGATTGGTTACTGGGTGATTTGGTCTCCTCATAAAACCTACTAGTTATGGAATGGAGGTAATAGTGCTTTAGAAGGATGATGACTTCTGATTAAGAAGGGAAATGGTTCCGCTACTTCAAAACGGTAGTAAAAAAGATTAAGTTTACAGGGTTTTTGTTTTTGCATTGGTAAAGCAAGGTAGGCTTTATTAAATGTTATTTAGAAAGATATGAAGGGAGATTTAGAGGGTGAATTAAATTTTTTAAGTTGTTCATAATGATTTATTACATTCAATATTCCAACGCCAATCCTACCACCATTACACATTCCCACCATCATTATTTCAAATTTTCCCAACCACCACCCATGCCTGCCCCAGGAGAAGGCCCTAAATGATTTATCTTGTATTGTTTGTTATGATTAACTCACTAAAATGATCAACATAGATATCCTTAGAAGAAAGTGCCTGAAGATTGTTAAATCTCACCCTGGAGTTTTTTTTAAAAAAAAATTTATTAGTGTTTTAAATTTTTATTTAGTGAAACACCATGAGGTACAGTTGTAGACTTACAAATTTTTGTGCTTGGGTTTCAGTTATACAATGATTGAGTACCCATCCCTCCACCAGGGTCCATTCTCCACCATCAATGATCCCAGCATCTCTCTCACACCCCATCCCCCAAAGGCCCCCCCCCTCGCCTCTGTGGCAGAGCACTCCCTTTTGTTCTCTCTCTCCTATTGAGTGTTGTGGTTTTCAAAAGAGGCATTGAGTGGCAATCATGTTCGGTCTATAGTCTACTTTCAGCATGCATCTCTCATGCTGGGAGGATCCTCCCAATACCCTTTATTTGGTGCTCCCTTCTCTATCTGAGCTGCCTTTTCCCCTAGCATGTGCAGCTGGCCTTCAAGCCATGGAGTAAACCTCCTGGTACTTATCTCATCTATTCTTGGGTGTTAGTCTCCTATTTTGTTACTTTATGTTCCCCAGATGAATGCAATCTTTCTATGTCTGTCCCTCTCTTTCTGACTCATTTCTCTTAGCATGATACTTTTCATGTAGTACCACTTGTATGTAAATTTCATGACTTCATCTTTTCTAACAGTTACACAGTACTCTATTGTGTAGATGTACCAAAGTTTCTTTAACCAGTCATCTATTCTTGGGCACTCAGGTTTTTTCCAGATTCTGGCTACTGTAAACATTGCTGCAATGAACAAACAAGTGCAGATGTCACTTTGACTATTCTTTTTTGCCTCTCTGGGATATATTCTCAGAAATGGTATTGTGGATCAAATGGGAGCTCAATTTCTAATTTTTTGAGAATCATCCATACTGTTTTCCAAAAGGCTGAACCAGTCAGCATTCCCACCAGCAGTGAAGGAGGTCCATTTCTCGCCACTAGCGCACCAGCACCAGTTGCTTTTGTTCTTTTGGATGTGGGCCAATCTCTGTGGTGTGAGGTGATATCTCATTGTTGTTCTGATCTGCATCTCCCTGATGATTAATGATGTAAAGCATTTTCTCATGTGCCTTTTTGCCATTCAGATTTCTTCTTTGAGAAAGTTTCTGTTCATTTTGTTGCCCCATTTTTTGATGGGGTTGCATGTTCTCTTCTTGAGGAGTTCAACCAGTACTTTGTATATCCTTGATATCAACTCCTTGTCGGATATGTATTCGGTGAATATTCTTTTCCATTCTGTAGACTGTCTTTGTATTTTGGTCACTGTTTCTTTTGAGGTGCAGAAACTTCTTAGTTTAAGATAGTCCCATTTACCTATCTCTGTTTTCACTTGCTTGGCCAGTGGCGTGACATCTTTGAAGATATTGTTAGCTTCAATGTCATGGAGGGTTGTGCCAAATTTGTCTTCAATGTACCTTATGGATTTTGGTCTGATGTTGAGGTCTTTAATTCATTTTGATCGTACTTTTGTACACGGTGTTAGACAGAGATCTGAGCCCATTTTTTTGCATGTAGCCATTCAGTTTTGCCAGCACAATTTGTTAAAGAGGCTTCCTTGCTCCACTTCACATTTCTTGATCCCTTATCAAAGATTAGATGATCATATGTTTGGGGGGAGATGTCAGTATAGTCAACCCTGTTCCATTGGTCTGCAGCTCTGCCTTTGTTCCAGTACCATGCTGTTTTAATTATTACTGCTTTGTAGTAGAGTTTGAAGTTAGGGAGGTTGATTTCTCCCATTATCTTTTTCCCAAGAATTGTTTTAGCTATTCGTGGCGGCTTATTGTTCCATATAAATTTCAGGAGTGTTTGCTCCATTTCTTTGAAGAATGTCATGAGTATCCTTATAGGGATCGCATTGAATTTGTACAATGCTTTGGGAAGTATTGCCATTTCGACAATGTTAATTCTCCTGATCCATGAGCAGGGGATATATTTCCATTCTCTCGTGTCCTCTTTTATTTCCTGAAGTAGCATTTTGTAGTTTTCTTTGTACAGATCCTTTACTTCCTTAGTTAAGCTGATTCCTAGGTACTTGTTTTTCTGAGGCACAATTGTGAACGGGATTGTTTTTTTCATGTCACCTTCTTCTCTCTCACTATTTGCATACAGGAAAGACAGGGACTTTGGGGTATTGATTTTATAGCCTGTAACTTTACTCTACAAGTCTATTGTTTCTAGGAGCTTCTTGGTAGAGGCTTTAGGGTTCTCTAAGTATAGTATCAGATCATCTGCGAATAGTGAGAGCTTGATTTCTTCCTTTCTTATCTGGATGACCTTAATATCTTTTTCTTGCCTAACCACTATTGCAAGTACTTCCATTACTATATTGAACAGCAGTGGAGAGACTGGGCATCCTTGTCTCTTCCCTGATCTTAGAGAGAAGGCTATATGTTTTTCCCCATTGAGGATGATGCTTGCTGCAGGCTTGTGGTAGATGGCTTTAACTATATTGAGGAAAGTCCCTTCTATACCCATTTTGGCGAGGGTTTTCATCATAAATGGGTGCTGGATCTTGTCAAATGCTTTCTCTGCATCTATTGATATGATCATATGGTTTTTATCTTTTCTTTTGTTGATATGATGGATTATGTTGATTGATTTCTGAATGTGAAACCATCCTTGAATCCCCGGAATGAATCCCACTTGGTCATGGTGTATGATCTTTTTGATGAGTTGTTGAATTCTATTTGCTAGTATTTTGTTGGGGATCTTTGCATCCATGTTCATCAGGGATATCGGCCTGTAGTTTTCTTTTCTTGTGGTGTCTTTGTTTCCTTTTGGTATTAGAGAGATATGGGCTTCATAGAAACTGGGAGAGTTTCTGTTTCTTCAATTTCCTGGAAAAACTTGAGAAGAACTGGCAATAGGTCCCTTTAAATGTTTAGAAAAATTCGGTAGTGAATCCATCTGGACCTGGGCTTTTGTTTTTGGGGAGGCTTTTGATTACAGTTTCAATTTCCTTGATGTTAATAGGTCTATTCAGGTACTCTAGATCTTCTTGATTCAGCTTTGGGAGACTATAGGAATTCAGGAATTTATCCATTTCTTCTAGGTTCTCTTGTTTCGTGGCATACAGACTTTCAAAGTAGTCTCTGGTGATCTTTTGAATTTCTTTGGTTTCTGTTGTGATATCCGCCTTCTCATTTCTGATTCGGTTTATTAGGGTTCTCTCTCTCTCTCTCTTTGTGAGTCTTTCTAGTGGTTTATCTATCTTGTTTATTTTCTCGAAGAACCAGCTCTTGGTTTCACTGATCTTTCGGATTGTTTTTCTGGGTTTCCATGTCATTGATTTCTGCTCTACGTTTTATGATCTCTTTCCTTATGCCTGATTTGGGCTCCTTTTGTTGATCCTTTTCTAAGATCTTGAGCTGTGAGGTCACGTTGTTTATGTGGGCCCTTTCGTCCTTCCCGAGAAATGCTTGCAGAGCTATAAATTTTCCCCGAAACATGGCTTTAGCTGCATCTTATAGGTTGTGGCACCTCGTGTCTTCAATCTCATTTGTTTCCAGGTATCTTTTAATTTCATCCTTGACTTTCTTCCTGATCCACTCATTGTTCAACATTGAGTTGTTTAATTTCCAGGTGTTTGGTTTGGTTCTCCGTGTCTTGTGTGAGTCACTTTTATTCTCAGTGCATCGTGGTCTGAAAATATTGTTGTTACTATTTCTATCTTCCTGATTCTATTGAGATATGTTTTGTGTCCTAGCACATGGTCTATTTTGGAAAATGTTCCATTTGCACTGGAGAAGAATGTGTATTCTTTCTTTTTGGGGTGTAAATCCCTGTATAAGTCTATAAGCCATCTCTTTTCTATTTCTTCCTTCAGACCCAATGTCTCCTTGCTGAGTTTTGTTCTTGTTGATCTATCCAGAGGTGATAAAGTGATGTTGACGTCTCCGGCTTCTATTGTGTTGCTAGCAATGTCCTCCTGAAAATCTGTTAGCAGTTGTTTTAAATATTTAGCTGTTCCCTCATTAGGTGAGTATACATTTAAGAGTGTGATTTCTTCCCGTAGTACGTATCCCTTGATAAATAGAAAATGGCCTTCGCTATCCCTTCTAATCTTTTTCAACCTGAAATTTATGTTGTCGGATACTAGTATGGCCACCCCAGCTTTTC